TAATTATGCTTTCCCAAAAAGCCAATAACTCATTTTTAAATTAATTCAACTTGAGTGATAATGGCATTAATTATCAATAGGTATCGTTTAAGTAACAATTTATGTAAAACATTTATTTATTTTAATATACGAGATCTTCGAATTGGCTTCTGAGAAAGCAAATATCATTACATACAATTTATTCTATGTATAGAGGGTGTCTACAGATTTTCCGACACTAACTAGAAATGTACGCCTGACGTATGCCTAATACATATGAAATAGTCACAAGTGGTGATATTAATAAATGTGTGCATCGTTATTCAGTGGTATATACATCTGACAACGTAATCTTATACTATAATGTACACGACCCACGTAGATAAATCTGTATAAAAAACGTTAACTTCAGATTTATATAAAAAAAGAAAATATTGTATAACCATCACTTTCATAGTTAATTATCAATTCATTGTCATTTTTATCACAAGTATTTGCTCTTTTTAAAAGTTTCTAAATACAAGTATTACTCAAATAGCAGAAATAATTAGCTGTTTGTAATTATTGCAACGTACTGCTTTCTTTCTCATAAAATACATCTAGCGTATGTACGTTGAACAGCGTTTACATTGTACTCGTTATTATAGCAAGCAGCCTAAATTTAATTCATTTAATTGAGATTAAATACTACTTCAAGCAATTCTATGGAAAAGTTCAATTTACTTTACTCATTATATTCGTTCAAGTGAACAGTATTTCAAATCACCTGCTATAATCGTCAGTACTTGATAAAGAGTGTAGTTTATCGCGGCGATATACACGCGTAGCTGAAACAGTTCATAAGTTCTCATTATAATCGTCCATTTTCCAACTAACGATACTATTTAACACGACCACTTAGTATACTTCAATAATACCTACAATCAAGTTTTGTATTCGTTATACTAAAACAAATATTTCAAGCTGTTTAATTTAAACTATTTTACTCATCAACTATTCTGTCATGTTTCATTGTTTAAGTTACTTTGCATAAATCTCTTTGATCTTTGGGTAATATAAATAGTAATAGAAGATTTGATAAAAACGCACCTTTGAATTAAAACGTAGTTCGTTTCTTATCAGCGATCGCTTCTTGTCGATAAAATATAAATATAAGATGACCATAATTATAAGCTACAAATTCGTGGGGCAGGGACTGCATCGTAAAAAAAAGATTTCCTCTAGTTTCCACATTTTATTGATTTGAAAATTGAATTTTATCGTAAGATTAATTAACTTTCTATAACTGATGAAATTTTATTCTATTTTCCACGATTACCTGTTATCCGAGGGATGATCTGAACGTATGGTCATCTTAATAAGACTCGCAATATATGTAGAGATAAAACACATACGTGAACAAGCACGCTATCACATAAACAAATTGTCAACTGTGCAATAATCATGAATGGAGCGTGTGCAAAAGTTTTGATGATTATCTCCGCATAAAAATGAAATGATTTATTCAAAATAAATGCATGGAATAAATGATTAAAAATTATGAATCACGTAATGGATTTAAATCTTTAATCTTTACCACCGTCAATGCATATTAATTTAGAATACTAATATTTCACATTCACCTTTAGCATCGACTGCTCGATAATTAATATTCAATCACTTGAAGGTTCATCAAAACTTTTCCACTCGCCAAACATTTGCGAACGTGCGAGCACAAGGCGAATATACATATGCTTGGTATTGAAGTTGCTTAAGGTAGTTCGCGTTTCGTAAAGGGAATCATACGTTTGGTTCTGTTCGATGTTGCAGTTTTACAATTAAAAAAACTGGAATAATCCTCGTTTGTTCAACACATTCATGTTAACAAAATATATATATATATACCATCGATTCCTCCATGCATTTCTTAATTCGTGGCAAAAAGAAATGATAACATATAAATATGCATGTATCGATATTCAGGTAATTTTGTATAATCTGGTATCATTGTATGTAACTCTAAACTTAACTTCTATGTACATGCACAGACTCCATCAAACGTTTATGTGAAAATTGGCGCACACGTAATTTCATTGGGGTTTGTCAAGCGGTAATATACAATACGTATAATGATAGTCATTTTGTCTGGTAGGTAGCTCCAACTACTTTCTGATCGTGTTCACTTGTTTCTTATTTGTATTCTTGTTCCTACGTACTCAACATCGAATTTCTAAATACGAGTGGAAACTAACAATGTCAAAACTGAAACATCATCTACCATTTACTACCTACATATCGTCGAGTTCGTTTGTATCCTCGTAATAATAAATATAATGCCGCATATCATCAAACGGAAAGTAAAAAAAAAAAAAAAAAATGAAACAGGTTCTAACTCTTTCTTTAACGAAAACAAATTGTATTGCTCTTACTTGTTTCAACGTAGGCAGACACGTAGTTAGCTAAACATTAAATGCATGATATGAAATTATTGTTGATATAAGTACGTATGGCTTATTATAGTATATATATAGATAAATATCTAGCTAAACTTCAATTCTCGGCTCGGGGAAAATGACAAGTTTGACCACTAGTTGCCGATAACATTCTCGTTTGTTATATAAAATCGTTCTAATATATAAGATGTATCTAATATATGAGATAATTCTCATCTACTAAATTTTTATTCTGTTCTAAGATTCCAAGTAGAAAATAACGTACATACATTTTTCATTTACGAACATATACCTTATGTCCATCTATCGACTCCTCGCTTGTAAAAGCATATTTTTATTTCTAGTAAATTTTTTAAAAATCAGGTCAAATATTTTACTTTTAATTCGACAAGCAATTTACTTATTTCAACGAAACCTTGCAGATACGTGAATGAATACAATTACGTATTACGTTAGAATGAGTAAAATAATGAAATAAGCAAAATGATATCAGCGTATCGATTAATATTTTTAAATTAATCAAACTTACCGTGAGTACAATAATTTTGATAACGAATCTGTATCATAAATTTTCT